TTAATCAACTTTGTTATTTCTAATTTAACGATAATAAATTATTCAAGAAGAATAATTGGTTGACCTGAATTTTTATCGGGTTAGGTTGGATCAGGCCAACTTGTTGACCCAACCTAACATCAACCTAAAAATCTATTAACCTGACCTGAATTTTCAGATCGGTTCAGATCAGGTAAACAGGTCAACCTGACCTGATTCAAAACTCTAATAATAGTGAATATAATAATAAATCTGATGATAATTTAGTATAGTATTTAATAAGATTTTTAGAATATTTAAAAATTTTAACCTTTTTAATTTAATAAAACTATGAAAATTTCTTAATATTTCTAAAGAAATTATTATTTACAAAGTTTCTGAAAATAATTAAATAATTATAAAACTAATAAAAAATTTTAAAAAAAAATCTAATAATAATATCAATAATTTAAATAAAAATAATAGATGATAATATAGAGATAGAAATTATTAATACAAATATATCATTAAAAAGTTTAAATATATTTTTATTTTAGCAAAAAAATGAGAAGGAAATATATATAGGATTAAGAAATCTATTAGAAATAAATAAATATAGAATACTATGATCAAATATTTTTAAATTTAATATTAGTATAATAAGTAATTACAGGTAATACAATAATTATTATGTAATAAAAGGAAATAAGTTATATAGTAAATATGTATATATAAAATTTCTCATAAATAGATTAAAAAATTATATAAGAAGGTTAAATTCAAAGGGTAAGCATTTTAAAAATATAATTTTAGAATATAAAATCTTTATTAATAAGTAATTTTTACATTTATTTTACTTAGAAACTTTTATTAAAATTATATGAACAAGAATTTTTTATTTAATTTAATTTTAATAATATAATTAATTATTATTTTTACATAAAAAAATTAATATTTTTAATTTATTACTAGATATTATAAAAAGGATCTTAAATAATATTAATATAACTTACAATTGATCAGCATATATTTGCTAATAACTTTATACATATTTTTTATATAGTATTAAAAAATTTCAGTTATATAAATTAAATTTAAATAATTAAAATTAACTAATATTAAATTTTATTAAAATATTTTAAAATTTATTTTGTAATTGATAATTATATTTATGCATATTAATCATTATTACAAAAAAATCAAAAAATTCAAAAATTGAAAAATAAATAAATAGTGAAATTTAAGAAATTAAAATAAATATTGAAAAAATAAAAAAATAAATTTAAAAAAATATAATAAAGATTAAAAAAATTAGAAAAAATAAAGATTAAAAAAAAATAAAAAAATAAAGCAGAGTTTAAGAAATTAAAACAAAGGTTGAAAAATTAAAAAATAAAATTCTACTTTATTTATTTTTTACACTTTTATATTTTTTATTTTTTCAACTTTTATTCTAATTTTTTAAACTCTGCTTTATTTTTTTATTTTTTTAATTTTCATTCTAATTTTTTGAATTTTGTATTTAGTGTTTTTATTTTTTTCTATACCAGTATTTGAAATGATTATTTGACTATTTAAATAATTTACCCAATCATTTATCATTATTTCTAATTCTTTGTTATTTAATCATTTTAATCATTTGATTTTGATTGATTAATACCTTATCATGTGATTCTAATTGAAAAGTAATAAAAATTGTCATTTCAAGTCATTTGCTAAATACTTTTCTATATTGATTTAATGTTAATTATTTTATCAATAAAAAATGAACAACTCTATATATCTTTAGTTTTAGTTTCATTTAGTTAATTCTATACAAATAAAATTTATAAGTAATTTAAAATTAAATTAATCTATGCAAACTCTATTTATTTGTTTAAAAAATATTTTCATATAAATTCTATGCAAATCCTTTTATGAGTTATATCATATTATTTAGAATCTTATTATGAACATAATAAGATTTTTTGGTATTTATTTAAAAAAGAAATGAAAGTTATATTATTATTATTAGAGAGTTCAATTAAATAGATTTAAACTATAATAATTACCTATTACACTATAAGAAGTATTGTTTGAAGTCAAATAGAATAAACTTATTTTAAAATATTTATAAAATTTATAATAATATAAAGACTAATAAATACTTAAATAAAATCATTGAATTGTTGAAAAGAGAATTTTAAGCATAGATTCTATATTATTAAATCAAATTTATAGCAGAAATTTTTAATTTTTATAAAATATTTTAATTTGATCATTACTAATTATTAGTAAATTATATTAAAGAATAATAAAAATATTAAAAAATTTTACAAATTATCATTCAATAAATAAAATATATTTTTATTAACCAAAATTTTTCAACTATCCAAATCAATTAAATTAAAATTTTTAAATTAAATAATTTTTTATGCTTTTCATAAGGTTATATAAATAAAATTATTTATTTCTTATAAATATAAATTGTAAATTTTTAATAGATATTTTTCCTATCTAGCAACTCAGATTTGATACAGCTCGAACCACTTAGTCATAGCAAATTTTAAAAAATGTGGCCAAATTTTTATATTTATATGAAACATATAAAACAACATGATTAAAAGTGGCCAAATTTTATTTTATTAGATCAAATCACATGATATCCACATGATATATTATTTTAAATTGATATTTTATCGAAAATACTTTGTGGAATTGTACGATGACATTTATACTTTTTAACTGCATATTCAGTTTGTTTAGCATTTAACCCTTTTTTATATGCATCTATATAATGATAAGATTTTCTAGCATATGCACGAATTTGTTTAATAGAAATAGAATCAAGTGCTTTAGGAACAATTTGCTTAAGGCCCGCCCATGTATAATTACAATGTTGCTGTGCATATTTTTTAGCAGCACCCTAATACATTTCAATGTAATTTAGTTCACAATGAAATTTGGGATAAAAAATTATTTTGTGACCATGTGCTTCAATTACTTCTTGTAATCTACATTTTTGATTTTTAAAATCGGGTTGATTTTTTAAAATATGTCTCATACAATAATCAGTTTCCATTGAATCAGATTTTTGACAATAATCCACCATGCCTTGTTTTTATAAACCACGTTCTTGAAGAATAATTTTCATACCCTTAGGTAATTTATGAAGAGAAGAATCACTATAATCATCTGGAAAAACCATATGTTAAACCTGTTCATTAAATATAGTATCACGCATAATGGGTTGTTTACCTCCAGGATTAACATTCATTACTTTTGCATTTAGAGCATCAGTTGCATAAGCACTATGAGATGAAGAATTATCAAATGCAAAAATTGCAATAGCATTTGGATGTGTTGCTTCAAAAATAGGTATTGCTTTTTCTTCAATCTTAATAATTAATATTAATTAAAATAAAGAATTTTTTTAAAAAAAATTGTCAATTATTATATATTTATACTTATTTATTTAATTAATTGTTCAATATTTCAATAACCACCTCTATTTTTACCTGGATAAATAATTTCACGAGCTTTATATGAAATATTTGATTCATTATTTAATTCATTATCTTGTAAGCGTAAATGTTCAATTGTTTCACAAAGAAAATCACTAATATGAATTGATAATCCTTGTCCTTTTTTTCTCAAAGTTTGTTCATTGGTTAGAGTCCATCCCGATTTGCGAGCATTATTAGCATAAAAAATTGTTTCATCATGTGTAATAAACACATGTTCTTTTTCATTTTCTTTTAACAATGGATTTATTTGAATTTCTAAATTTTCGCCTTCAAATTGTAACATAAATTTTTCATATCTAAATAAATATAAATAATTTATTAATATATTTATAAATTGAATTATTATAAAATATTTTTACTTACTCAACCATTTGTGTAAGAAATTATTGTCGATATTCCACTACATCTGGTTTTTCGTGACCATCATAATATGCTCCTTTATGATATTGTTTAAATACAAATCCCATTTTGTTAAGCCATTGCTTTGCAGTAGAATTTCTACATATAAAAAAAAATAATAAGTAATTAATACATATTATTATATAATAATTAATTTTAAAAAATAATAATTACCCAATTTTTTTTGCGCGTTCAATTCCAAGTTTTGGTAAAATAACATCTGAAACATAATTTATAAAGTCAGCAATATAGAATTCAATCTTATTTTCACGCAAATATAAAACAATTTCAGCTTGAATATCTTTATCCTCCAAAAGACTTTTAATTTTAGGATGTCTTTCTCAAAATGATTCTGGAAGATTACCACCAGCTTTTAAAATATTAGTCCATTCATGAATAGACCGTGTAAGATAAGTATTATGACCCAACTAATGTGCTACAGATAAACTTGCTTGCATTTTTGATTTATTAAATTAAGTTAACCGAAGATATTGTAAAACTGCAGTTAACTTCTATTTTAAACTAGCTGGAAGTTTATTATTACTAATTTTATTTTCAATTTCTTTAATCAATTCATTATCAGATAATAGATATTCCTTATTAAAATCCTCATCATCATCGGACTCCTGATTGTCAGTTTGTGAATTAAGTTCATCTTCAGAGACTTGGTCAGATTCGCTTATTGTAGG